ATGTCTCAAATGTTCATACCATGTCGTGGTGAAACAAGTAATCAACGGAAATCAAATGTTCATACCATGTCGTGGTGAAAGAAATGTAAACGGCGGAGGTGTTGAAGGAATTGAAATCGGCGGTGGTGGAGCTGAATCCAGCTGCAGTTGAGTTGTTCTCATGGCGGTTTCGTTGTAAAACGCGAAAAACTCGTATCTTAAACTACAGCTCGGCACAAGAAGTCTTCCCCCGATACTGTTAGTAGGTAATTGCTTGATGATCTGTTGCAGACAACGCAAACAGTCCTGTCTCGTTAGATCAGGAGTGCACTGAACCATTACGTACAAAGGCTGCAACGTAGTAAAATTGGCTTTTCTCGCATCAACTTTTCTCGAACTCTTCGATGCCTCTGTGGCTGCTTGGTCCAGCGTGGACAAGACCAATTCATTGAACCGGTCTTGTTCGTTAGACGAAATATTATTGGAGTTAGCAACGATCATAACTCCATTTGTTCCATTTTGGAGTGAAGAGTCCAAGAAAAAGTTCTGGTCATCGTATCGAAGCATGCATTCCTCATACSCCATCATGCCCTGRTTTTCCTCTGGACATCGATTCAGAGTGTCGTTGGCAGCAAAGACTACGCAGTCACGGCATACATCTGGCAACATATCTCCCCGGCATAGGAATAACCCGTATGCCACGTCAGGGCTCTGACCTGCAACTGTGCTATAGAATCCGATGGAGAAAAAGGGACCGTTGGAAGAAAGAGAAGACAAAAGACCGTTGGACCGATGGTGGGGTATTTGCTGTTTTTGGAATAAGTTGTTGTGTTCGGACAAACATGGTATACGTAAGTAGGGTTTCGTTGTTGTGCAGAAAATCTGAAGCTTGCAAGGAAGAAGGCAAGAAAGAATAGAGAACCAAAAGAAGCATAACCAGACATATTTCAATTATTCTCTTCTCCTCTGTATTTTTTTTTAATGTCTTGATAAATGCTAATTAATACTTTTCTCTGTAAAAGGATGCAATTTCTTGCAAATCAACGTCAAGGCCAACTTCTTCTTTGAAAGTACCGTCAACTTGATCTACTATTACAATGAAGAACATTCCAACCACAAAAGAAGGTATACATACTTTTCTCTGTAACCCCACTGATCGAACACCTTTTCTATAATTATTAAGGACAAATCGGGGATTTTCTATAATACCTCTAAAAAGATTTGATGGTTGTCCAACCCTAAGAGTATACATCACAAATAAATAAACCTGATAGTCTTCTTCTAAACGGAGTAGTCACAGTGATTAGCGAAGGTCCCATATACACATTGCTCTGCAGAGTGTGTGTGTGGCTGGCCATGAGAACATTTCTCTCAATTTTGTTTTTTGTCAAAACGATTACAGTGTTTTCACCGTACTTTCGTTTTTTTTTTTGATAAAAAGTTTCCACGAACTTGTCCTATACTAACTAGAGTTGAACTTGACTTATATATTAGACTATTTTGTTTAAAATTTTGATGTGAGACTTGGATTAATATCCCAACACAGTCTTTGAGAATACCAAGTTACGAACACTCGTTTATGCATAATGGATCTTCATTATTCATCAAAACATATTTTGAA